AGGCAGGCTCCTGGAGCCAGCACATGCAGGGAGCTTGCTTGAAAGTCAGCTCCCCGTGCATATAGGCTCCGCCTGTCCCCCTCACCTCCATGCTGCTTAAGTATGATCATCCCTAGAAGGTATTTGTCTAATAGCACTCTATCTTGCAAGTTTCTTGTAAAGATTAAAGATTGTAAGGTGCTCAGATACTAATGCACTCATATTGCTCCCCATCATCAAAGATAGACAGAAAATTAATCCAACAGGATATAAAAGGCTAAACCTAAATACCCAGGGTGAGTTAAAAATGGAAAGAGATTTAATTTCTCTTTCAGCTCTTACCGTATGGGATTCTAACTCAGCAATTTTCTCTGGCGATTCCGAGCCCAAATAATATATTCTTATCACATGGTCAGTGCTACCTGTTGCAATGAACATGCCACCTGAGAAAGACAGTATTTTCTGTGAGAAGAACAGTCACTAAAGGAACTACAAACTTTGTGAATATGGTGTTACTGCTAAAGCAGCATAAAACACAGTTTTAAATTGAAGATTTTCAGTGGGATCAAAACTTGTTCATAAACATTTAATCTTGATTTAAATGTTTTCCTGTTCTGGACCTTCTGAGACCCTTTACACTTCAACGTCTCTCCTTACTGCTAAAGAAGGGTTGAAATTACTGAAACTGTTACTGAACAAACAAGGCTAACATTTCAAAAAACAGAATTTAGTTACTGCAGATCTACCACAGTTCTATCAGCCAGAGCAATCCACAGAAATAAAAGGCAAAGAATGGTTTGTAAATCTTTAGGGCCACATTCAGCAAAGCGCTTACGTAAGAACTTGCTTATGACCTAAGTGACTTCATATGCTTTAGTGAATTAGGGCCTAAGAGGGTACGCTCTTTTCCTGTAATAATTGTGTAACTGTATTACACATTATTCACTGCAGGATGCCTAATTTGTGACACTGAAAGCGCTTCAGTGATTTCTGAAATCCTAGATTTCATGGGGGAAAATGGCATGGTTAATAGGGATCTGAAACAGGCTAGCAATTTCAGATAAAGATAATTAGTCATACATTATTTTGTTTCTCTCTACAGATAAAAACCACTGTAAAATATCTCTCTCTTGCAGACTACATGGCTGGATCAAAAGAGGGAATCAGACCACATACCTTCAAAAAGACACACTGCAACATGATAACATACATTACCACAAGTTATGGTCCTGTGACTAAGGTATTAATGAACCAATACTTGATAATTTGGGATTAGTTTTGTTACTTATAAATCTACAATACCATCAATGTTACATGACAACCTCTTTAAGCACAAAAAAGTCAAAAAAACATTATTCAGGATGTAAAGTCAAGTTCTCAACAATTACGCAATCCCCAAATTAAAGATACTTGTACAACTTTAATTCAGCCTCTTGCATATCTGCTTGATGACAGTCTAATTATTCAAAGTATGGACTTTTCCCTGATTTGGGCAGATGTTCAAAAGAACAAATAAAGAAATAGCTTTGACACAGAGGCCATACCCCCTACTAAATTTCAAGTCTGCTTTCCAAAGTGTGGGGGAACGTGGGAATTTTCAATGCAAAAAGTCACCAGAGTTCATTTACATAAGCAAAACAATCTATTTCTCCCCAGTCTCACTCTTGGAAAAGGATTAGACTATTTTGGCCGAAATTTAATGGGGAAAAAAAAAAAGCCTGAGGCATACACCCAGGAACATAAAATTTAAAGTTTAGCAAAGTTATAAGCAAGAGAAAATAAAATAGGATAATGGGAAGTATCAGACTATCAAAATGGCAAGCAGTGTTCCACGCTCTGCTTATATCCTTTATTATAGGGAACATATGATCTTTTCATTGTCAAATTGTTTTCTATCTAATTTTAAGTTTATAGAATACAACTCTTTAAAAGTATAAATATTCCTAAAGGGAAAGGAAGGGGGAAAAATACACATTTTCTTTCAAAACACAAAAAGTTAGACAAAGTCATGAACACAAAAGTGGCAGGAAGTACGGACTGAAATCAATATGACTTCCCAAGTTTGGCAACAAAATTAGAAGATGCTGCACTCTAATCCAGGCATGAATTAAAAAAAGATTAAGAGTTTTATGACACTGCAAAAGTCAAAGAAAGACTCTAAATAGTAATTCCTTTAAGCAGTACTGTGATACAAAGTTTAATATGAAGATAAACTTAAAAGGATATGGAACTTTCTTTCTATTAGCCACCATGCCGAAGCAAAATTCCCTCTGAAGTCAACAGGAGTTATGTCTTCATGATATGCCCACATGAAAAATTAATGCTTTCCAATTATAGATTTCCCAGTGCAGGCAAAATAACCTAATCTTCCCCCCTGCTGAAGAATAAGCAATTTAAAGGTACAGATTGCCACTGAGCATTTAATTTAAATCACTTTATTCCAAAAAAAAATCTCAAAACATTAACAAACTTTCTTCTATAGAATATCAATGTATTCCCAGATATATTGTCTTCATTATTTTTCAGCAGCTACAGAAGACCAGAGATTGTTTTAAAGCTGCCCCTCATTTTTATTTTATATGTATGTATACACAGACACAAACAAAACTGAAGTGCTATTTCTTGACTTTTATACATACCTGAGCTGAAAGATGAACAAGATATCTGAACCCCAGGTCTGGATCGCTCAGCAAATTTCACAGGACGATCCCTAAATGCAAAAAAATAACATGAAAATTTTAATTTTATGACCTTATCTTCATATCCCCTAAGACGACCAATATCAGAGTAATTCAATGTTTGAAGTTAAGGCTCAATAGTTCCATTCTAAGTTATTTTATTTCAGAATTTGTAACTTGAAGTATGCCATCAGTTCGATACTTTTTTATTGAACTGATTTTAAGAGTAACTCACACATTCTACTTTTGAGTATTAATAGTCTTTTAACGTATTTAAGTTACATACTTAAAATAGAAACTGGTAAGCCGCCACCTTGTAAGCATGGCATCAAACCCACACTTTTTAGGGATGAAATTCTTTCTAAAGATATGTACATCTGCAATTAAAGTTAATGGAATTTGCATGCCTGCACATTTTAGATAAGAATTTGGGCCTAAATATAAGGCATTAAGTGAGGAAGACATTCCACAATTATTGATTGCAAAACATAAAGGAAAGAACTCAGAGAGCAATACTTTGTGGCCCTGTGTAAGTCACAGAACATGAGGAGAAAGCACACCCTCAGACAGCTGCAACGGCTTATGTAGCTACCCCAATTCCTCCTCCCATAGACCAGTACTAGCAAATTCACAGTCCATTTTGGTCAATTTTATAGTCACAGGGTGTTAAAAATTGCAAATTTTTTCAGGTATTTAAATCTGAAATAACAGTGTTGTGACTGTGAGGGTCCTGACCCAAAATGGAGTTAAAGTCGCAAAGTTATTGTAAGGGGGGTGGGTGCAGTACTTACTTCAGAGCTAAGCAGCTGGAAAGAGCCAATTGCTGTGTGGGGGCCCAACTCTGAAGACAGCATAAAAGTAAGGTAGCAATACCACAATCCCTCCCCCAAATAACCTTGTTATCCCTCCTCCCCAGAAACTCCTTTTTGGGTCAGGATTCCCAATATGAAAAATGATGGTCTCTCCTGTTAAATCTGCATAATATAGGGTAAAAAGCACACAAAGAACCAGATTTCACAGTCCAGGTTGTTAATTTAGCAGGCCCTAAGTATGGCAATTGTGCATTGGGGAATTATATCAAAGATCCATTTGCAGATCGAGCTCTTAATTTAAATAATCATGCCAACCAGGCAAGGGAATACCGTATACTTAGATTTCCAGAAAGCCTTTAACAAGGTCCCTCACCAAAGGCTCTTCAGCAAAATAAGCTGTCATGGAATAGAAGAGGGAAGGTCCTCTCATGGACTGATAACTCATTAAAAGGTAAGCATGTAATAGGATTAGGGATGTGAAAGTGTAAATGTGTACACAGTTAACCAATGAGCCTGTAGGCTCATTACTTAAGGTCATCACTTAAACTTCATCGTTAGACGCAGGCTCCCACCTGCCCTCCCCACTCTGCCATCTCGGATACAGAAAAAAATTCAGCAGTAGCACGTTTACTTAATTAAATGCATTTTAACATCCCTAAATAGGATAACCATTTACACAGTTACTGTGAACGGTTACACACAGGCTTACATCCCACTCCCGGGAGCCTGGCTGCCAAGCCATGCTGCTGCCTCTGTAACAGAGGCAGCAGTGCGGGATAGCAGCTGGCTCTCCATGAGGGGCCTATCCACGGAAGCTGATACACACCAAGAGCCATCTTAAAAGCTGGCTCCCAACAAGCACCAGCTCCCGGGGAGCTGGCTGCTACCCTGTGCTGCAGGTGCATGTAGCCGTGTAACCGGTTACACAGTTACCCAATCACCCACATTTTAACATCCCTAGTTAAAAGATAGGAAACTAAGGGTAGGAATAAATTATCAGTTTTCAAAATGGACAGCAGAAACTAGTGGTATCCCCTAGTGGTCTGTATTTGAACCAACCCAATTCAACATTCAGAATCAGTCTGGAGACAGGGGTAGACAGGTGGCAAAATTTGCAGGTCATACCAAGCTGCTCAAGATAGTTAAGGTCAAAGCAGACTGTGAAGAGCTTCAAAAGAACATCACAAAACTAGGAGATTGGGCAACAACAAAATGGCAATGAATTTTAATGTTGATAAATGCCAAGTAATGCATATTGTAAAACATAATCCCAACTATACATATAGAATGATGGGGGCTAATCTTGGAATCATCATGGCAGTTTAGAAACAGTCAAAAAATCAAACAGAATGTGAGGTATCATTTAAAAAGGACAGAATATTATATTGCCTCTATATAAATCCACGGTATGCCCACATGTAGAATACTGTGCTCGATGTGGTCGCCTCATCTCAAAAAAAAAAAAAAATCCTGGTATTAGAAAAAGTTCAGAAAAAGGCAACAAAAATGAGCAGGGGTATGGAACAGCTGCCATATGAAGAAAAATACAACTTGGACTTTTTAGCTTAGAAAAGAGGAGACTAAAGGGAGACACGACAGAAGTCTATAATATCATCGCTGGTGTGGAGAAAGTAAATAAGGAAAAGTTGTTTACTTGTTCCCATAACTCAAGAACTAGAGATCACCAAATGAAATTAATAGGTAGCATGTTTAAAACAAACAAAGGAAGTATTTCTTGACACAATGCACAATCAATCTGTGGAACTCCTTGTCAGAGGATGTTGTGAAGGATGTTGAAAAGGGTTCAAAAAAGAACTAGATACATTCATGGAGGATAGCTCCAGGATACTGGGCTAGATGGACCTTTGATCTGACCCAGTATAGCTGTTATGTTCTTAAACAGCAAAGGAAATTATTCTCTTTTCATTTATCTACCCTAAAAGGAACACACACCTTTTCTCTCCCCCACATCTCACCCCTTTCTGGCTCCACACATCTCAAGCCTTTTTACAAGGAGTTAAAATAAATTCCTCCTTTAGTTGAATAATTATAGCAACAAAATGAGCTTACTTAAATTTAATTGTGTTGGCATGCCACTGCCAGAAACAGATTGCTCCATCAGCACCAGTGGAAGTGAGGTATCGTGTTGTTCCTTTTCTTGCTGGAGAAAACTAAAAATACAGTTATGGCAGTTAAATCATCTGACTTCCCTGTCCTCTTAGATACAAGTTTCTTATAAATGGCACGTCAAAAGATCTAAATCACTGCTAAAAGTATGCACTTTCCCACCATGACTAAAAAAGACTAGTAGAACCTAAACTTCCATAGCTCCCTGAAGTTCATATTAAGACGCATGCAAACCAAATGCAAGTGATCTGTAATAAAAGCTTTTAGCAATCAGATATATTTTGAAAAGGTATACAAACAAATCTCTAAGAGTGTTTATTCAGTCATAGCCTTCAATGCAGACTGACAAAAGGATGTCAGTCTGTGAGATACCTAAAACAAAAAACAGTCTTTAGAGTGCTACATAGTCCTGGTTTTTGAGAGATACCTGATCACTGATGGATTTTACATAAACTACAGACAAAGTGATTAGATGGCAAAGATCTTAGATCATTATTAACCTGGGGCAGATCTGAATGCCATCTTAAGATGTGGAAAAGGTCTGCTTCTCATTGCTACTAAACACCCTTCCCCACCGTTTTAAAAGACATTCTGAAATCTGGAGCAAGTGTTATCCCTTACCTGTATGGAAGTGATGGAAGCTGAATGGCCCTGTAGCACTGCAATTGGTGCACAGGTTCGAAGACACCATACTCTGACTACCTTATCACAGCTACCTGCAGCCAGCAGTGTGTTTTCATAATTAACAGCCATGTCAGAAATTTCAGCCGAGTGTCCTCGCAACGTCGAGAGAAGACGACCATCATCTGTAGCCCAAATTTTCACTAAACAATCATCTGAGCCCTAATGTAACACAAACACACAGATGTGACAAAGACATTTCCATAAGTTTTAGACAGACAAGCACACAATATAAAACACAAGTCACTGGGCCATAATCACACAAAATGACTTCAAAGAGTGTAAAAGTCTGAGCTTGAGGATCCCTTTGCAGGATCAGGACTCTAAATATTTCTTTAAAAAAGACAAAAATATCTGAACATGGAACATTAACATTTAGTGGTCTTTGCTTTATATTACCTTCTGCCATATTATTAGGTTAGCAATAACAGATACATAGGAGTCTGCCACATATATTTGAACCTCATTTATTCAATGTAATAAATTCATATAAATGCCATGTTTGTGGAAATGATACCTGATAGACTGAAGAACAATGTGAAGTTTCAGAGCAATGTAATATATGTTTATCATGTATCTGTTTATGGGGATCTCTGCTCAATAATCCACCCCAACCAGGATTTATTAATCTAACATTCCAACCTCCAGTGGCATATAGCTTCAATATTTTTAAATGAAACTTCCAATGTGGAATTTCTCCAACCAAATTACATCAGACAAGGTCTTGGGAGGAGACTAAGCCCTGAGCCACTGAATAATGTTGGGAGACACCTGCAGCTTACACTGACTAAAGTGATAGTCACCCAGCTCTTCTGTAAACAGGACTATCAATACTGCACAACCTCCAAAGAGTAGAAATAAAGCTTCAAACACTTAAAAGAGGAGATTTCTAAAATAATGCAGCACTCACTTCTAGTCCTGATAGAAGTCATGCATGGACTTTAAAATCATGATTCTTCTATAAACAGAAAATCATTTAAGACTGGGAAGTGGCTTTTGGTTGGTTGGTTTTAAAACAATTCTCTGGTACCCTCTGAATTCAGTGTAATTGAACAAGTGATAAATGAGACACCAATATTTAGATATGCAATGAAAAAAAAGCCAAAACAAGATGTTTTTAAAACTCTTTTAAAGAGTTAATGATGTCTGCTATAAAACTTTTTGTAACACAATATAACACGCTCATGGCCTCACTATCCAGGAATGGCATGGTCATCCGACTTTCATGCCACCGAGCTTTAATTCAAACCACATCAGTTTATGGCATATGAACATACACACTTTGAAATAATAGGCCATTTGCAGTCCTAGCATAAGCAGGTGTAGCTCCATGAAAGCTAAGGAAGAAAAAGCTGAATTCAGTCAGTAAGGTTGTGTGATTAGCATTTCTCTTCTTTTCATCCTTCTGACATGCAAATACAGTAAATCCTAGGTACACTGAACTTATTAAACACATTTTTATCCAAATTAATAAACAAATATTACTCTACTGACTCTTATTCTCCTGACTACAAAACTTGCTTTTACACTCAAAAACAATTGTAATAATAAATGTAAGACAACCAAACCCTTTGGGTTAGATTATCAACAGAGTTTACAGCCCTGCACACCACTAAGTGAATATCTTCACTGTCACAGAGATTGACCCACTCATTAAAGATCCACCACATTAAACACTGAATGCGCCTCTGGTAACCGTTGTACTCCTTGCAGTTGCGAGGAGCAAGGGAAGTTGACGAGAACGTTTCTCCCATTGACTTCCTCTTGTGGGGACGGCACTGAAACTCAGCTTAACGTACATCGACTCCAGCTACATTATTTACGTAGCTAGAATTGCTGATCTTAAGCCGACTTTCGGTGGTAGTGTAGTTATGCCCTCAGATAGCATAATCTAGTCCTGGTGCAGGAGAATTCTCTACTGGGCATTACTGTGTTGGATCCAGGTTTATGCCTCTGCCCCCCCAGAGTTCTGCTCAGCACAGAAGAGAATCTTGCCAGCACATTTTTAAAAGCGTAACACAATATGCTAGCACAACTGAATAAAAGGGAAATGTAATATGGATTTACATTTCACAGATCAATTTATTACATGCCTGCATGTAAAAGTAGTTGGAAATGCAGGTAGGGAAGAGAAAGAAGTTTCAAATAAAAACAGAATGGGTTGTACCCATATGTTTTTTTCTGTGCTGGGGAACAAAGCTGCCTTTGAACATGGCAGAACAATAAAAACCTCACATAATCACATTTAACAAGTGCAAGATAAACTGTGAATTAGCAACTCTTGTAGATAACAAGCGAATACACAATAAAAAGTGAGGAATATCATAACATATATTGTTTATTTTAATTGTTGCAGTTTAATTTTTATACTAATAAATGTCAGACTAGATTTTGAAAAGTTACATAATTCTTAATAATTAAACTTTAGTTATAAGAGACCTTACTATAGTATCTGCTGTCTAGTTTTTAATAAGACATAAGGGGAAGACTAACAGGGGAAGACTAACCGTTTTTCAAAGCATGTAGCTTAGCAAAATGCACGTTAGTGAGAGACTTCCGTGGATGGTTTAAACAACAAACCAGATTCACTCAAGTGAAATGCATTTGACGTATTTCCAACCCCCAGAATATCACAGGAATCTGGCACCACTGAGCAAGAAAGCTGGTAAATAGCAATTTTTTTTAATCTAAATCACAGAGCTTTAATGCGTAACAACTTTCCTATAGTTATATCTGGGGAAGTGGATAGTTGAGTAATAATTTCAGTTGCCTGTCCACTGATGCGGTGAGCTGTTCTAAAAAAATGCAAGAGACAAAACAAGTACACACACAGAGTCTGTGCTTGAGAAGGTGCAAGTTCTGGGAGAGGTAGTGTAGAAAGAGCTGAATTTCTAAGCCATTCACAACCTTTGTTTTTATTTCTTCCTGGATGACAAGTTCATTGTATATAATGCAGGAAGAGCTATTTAGGGGGAGAAAGAAACAAATAAATTCAGTGTTCCAATATATTATAATTCTTAAACTCACTGTGAAAATTCGTCTCCCACTGCGGTCAAATGCTACACAATATACAGATGATAAGTGTCCCAGAATCCTCTTATGCATCTTCATATGTTGGTAGTTGGATGTTGGGAACAAATGGCTGAAACGTCCATATCCAGTTAATTGCTTGGCAGAAATTATATTTACTGGGAAAAAAATACAGTCATCTTAAGGTCTTGTTTGGCCTGCGTTTCAAGTTAATTCACACTTAATCACTGTTAATAGTAATATATGATTCAATAGCTTTTTACGACTGACTCTCCCATTTCTAACACACATCTGTACAGACAGAAGAACTTAAAATGAATCTCTTACACACTGTAAGAAGCTAAAAACTTGAAGCAGATTGGGTAATCCAATTTTTAATTTTTAAAATTACCACATTCAGGAAATTGCTTTTAACACAAACACCAAAACAGTAGCAAGAAGCAATTTTCAAAGTGTTTGCCATTATTTAGAAATAAGGTACAATTTGATGTAATTTGATGTAACTGAAGAATAGGGATGTGATAGTGTAAACGTGTAAAGCCTGGGCTCAGTGGTTAACTTTCACGGTTACATGCAGCGCCCCATGAGAGGCAGCAGCAGGGGAGGAGGGCAGGCAGCTCCACAGGATACAAGGCAGCAGCGCGGAGGGGAAAGGAGAGGAGGTGGCTCCATGGGAGTCCCCTTCTCCCCCCATACACGTAAACATGTACCCACTAAAAATTTCAGCAGGTACACATTTACCAAAATAAATACATTTTAACTTCCCTAATTAGGGAATACTTATCATGAGCACCCTCTGAATGGGCTTGGGCTACATTTCACAAGTGAAAAGAGCTACCTTCACCACACCCCTCACATACATTCCCCCACTAGCCTTCGAAGGAGGAACACAGGGACTTTTTCCAAATGGAATCTCTACTCCTGTTTCCCTAAGTGACTTGGGGGAAAAAAAACACACGGAAATCTATGGTGCAAGTGGGAGCATAGCCCTGATCTGAGAGGCATTAGCCCCAAAGCTTATGCCCTAAATAAAGGATACACGGAGGTTTTCTATGGGACACATCAACTCGTCAGGATATTTGCCTAGTTTTACAACAAACTACATGGAAGGCACTAATGAACTCAATACAAACTAAATTTCATACAATTACTTGCTTATTGTGCTTTACACACTATCCACTGGGTTTATCGGTTAATCCTAATGATGACATGCACTCTTCTGCTCTCTATCAGGAATCAGAACCCATGGAGCCATCTGCCTCTCCCCTCATCCCCCTGAGCTGCTGCCTCTGATAGAGAGGCAGCAGTGCAAAGGATGAGTGGGGCAGGCGGAAGCAGATACACACAGGAAGACAGCATTCAAGACAGCTCCCCACATGTATCAGCTCACATGGAGCTCCCCTACCCTGACCCAGCACTTCTGCCTCTATATCAAACACAGCAGCACGGGGAGCAGGGGGGAAGACAGGGACAGGAGGGAGCCAATATGTGCGGAAAGCTGCCTTTTAAACTGACTCTCAGTATGTCCACTCTGTGGAGCCACCTGCCCTCCCCCCCCCCCCCCACTCCCTCCCCCCAAAGGACAGTGCCCAGGCCCCTCATGGACAGAGGCTGCTGTCACTCTGTGCTGCATTAGCGGTATTAGCAGCAGCAGCATGGGGTGGCAGGTAGGAGCCAGACTACGTGGGGAGCTGGTTTTCATGGAGACAGCAACACTGGGTGGCAAGGGACTCCCCAGGAGTGGGGCTGGGAGTACACTGGCTGTTGGCCCCACCCTCAGGGACTTTCAAATAATCGTGTAACCAATAAGATTTGACTGGGTTACACGATTATATAAGGTATTAGCAGCAGCAGCATGGGGTGGCAGGTAGGAGCCAGACTACGTGGGGAGCTGGTTTTCATGGAGACAGCAACACTGGGTGGCAAGGGACTCCCCAGGAGTGGGGCTGGGAGTACACTGGCTGTTGGCCCCACCCTCAGGGACTTTCAAATAATCGTGTAACCAATAAGATTTGACTGGGTTACACGATTATATAATTAAACGATATCTAACATCCCTAGTAACGGTACAACCATGGCTAGAATCCTGTGTCCAGTTCTGGTGTTCACAATTCAAGAAGGATGTGAGTAAGTTGGAGAAGGTTCAGAAAACAGCCAAGAAAATAGTTAAAGGATTAAAAAACATGCCTTATAGTGACAGACTTAAGGCGCTTAGGAGCCGACTTGATTAGAGTCTGTAAGTATGTACACGGGAACAAATATTTGATAATGGATTTTCAAATTAACAGAGAAAGGCATAACATGATCCAATGGCTAGAAGTTGAAGCTAGAAAAATTAAGACTGGAAATAAGACATAAACGTTTATTTTTTTTAAACAGTGACTAATGAACCCATTGTTACAAATTTACCAAGGTTTGTTGTGAATACTTGTTCAACAACAAATTTTAAAATCTAAAAGATATGCGTTTGTAATTATTTGGGAGGTCAGACTAAATGATCACAGTGGTCCCTTGGAATCTATGGTTCACACTGCAGTTAAAAACCCGTGGCTGGTCTGTGCCACCGGGCTCCAGCTAAGGGGCTGTTTAATTGCAGTGTAGATGTTCGGACTCAGGCAAGAGTCTGAGTTCTAGGACACTGGAAGGTTGCCAGAGCTCAGGCTCCAGCACAAGCCCAAACTTCTACATTGCAATGACAGCACCCCATAACTTGAGACCTGCATGCATCAGCTGGTACAGACCAGATGTGGATTTTTATTTAAAGCGTAGACATACCCTGTGAATGCAAGCTTATCTTATCAAGTGAATGTTGAAGGATGCAGGCCTCTGGTGTAGCCACTATTAGCTCCGCTCACTCCTTTAGTTTAATAATCTGGTGAACTGTTTGTTCCACTTATAAGTTGTTTTTAATTGTATCATCCTTTATCTACATACAGACAAAAGATTATGAAGACTTCTTAGGAAGGCTGGGTAAAAGCATCATTTCAGAAGCCAATTAAGCTTGCTGACTAGTTAGTCCAATAAAAGATACTCCTTACCTATGTCTCTCCATATCCTGGGACCAACAAACTACAAACCATACACACATACACCCCATTGCTTTATATACAAATCCCAAGCACATAGAAGCAAAGTAAAAAACAAAGGGATACTGCTCAGAGAATAAACACTTAAAGTATAAAGAAATATTTATTTCATATCACACAATTTTTCTAATTCGGTAGCATTTTGACATTAGCAATGAAAAATAGTATTCATTTTATTTCAGAGTTATATATAGTAAGTGCACATTAACATAGTGATCAGCTTCAAATACAAGTCCATAATATAAGTAACAATATTATTATCCATCAACTTGCACTTTACCAATTAAAATACATATTCAATTTTTTTGCCTCAGGAAACAAATAGTACTATGCCATAATATTTTGTTATTTAACAAAGCAATTAACGTATATTTTCTATTTCACTGTATTTAAGAACACTGTAAGAATATAGTCAAAGTAAGAATTACGTCCTCAATGATCTTTTTTTCCCATTACAGTAGGGCACAGAGGTTCTATTGCACTAGGTGCTGTACATACATAAAGAAGAGCTTGCCTACACACAGCTTTTATACCATTTTAACTATATCTGTTTCTAAACCTACTTCATCAAAGCAGTATAATCCCCTAGGATATGTCTACACTGCCACCCTAGTTCGAAGTAGGGTGGCTAATATAGGCATTCAAACTTGCAAATGAAGCCCGGGGTTTAAATATCCCAGGCTTCATTTGCATGTTTCCGGGCGACACCATTTTTAAATGCCCCGTAGTTCGAACTACCTGCCTACGGTTAAATGCAGCACAGACTAGGTAGTTCGAATTAAAGCTTCTAATTCGAACTACCATTAAATCTCCATTCAGGAGGAACAACAGTAGTTCGAATTAGGAGCTTTAATTTGAACTACCTAGTACATGCCGCATGTAGCCGCGGGCAGGTAGTTCGAACTACGGGGCATTTAAAAATGGTGTCGCCCGGAAACATGCAAATGAAGCCTGGGATATTTAAACCCCGGGCTTCATTTGCAAGTTTGAATGCCTATATTAGCCACCCTAGTTCGAACTAGGGTAGCAGTATAGACATACCCCTAGTGTGGACAGTCATATAGGTTAAAGTTGTAATCCTTTAACCACAAACACTTTACCCTATTTTTCAATGCTTGGGTTTTGTAAATGATAGGACTGACAACCACATATTCACTATTTAGCAATTTCAAACAGCTTTGCACCAGATAATTTTGTTTTTGGAAAATAAAAGTTGAAAAGATTTAAGAATAGCATGAGCCATGAAGGCTCATCTACATATTAAAATATTCTTTAAATAAAACCACACACAAAAAACTTTACTTTCTTCTACATACTATAAATTCCACAATCTTTTTCTTGACATGTTATTAATTTTAAAATTAAATACATCAGAAACTCTATTTTATTAAAAGTAACACATGGTTTATTTTGTTAGATTTAAATTTTCAAGAGCATGTGTGACTTATTTTGAGACTGTTAGCACCATCCTCTATTGACCCCTCAGCATTGTGGTGAGGCAAATGTCCCACACTGGCTGCAGGGGGTTAAAGCCAACTGGAAGGAGCCTGCACAGAACCCTGGACAATTGGAGTGGAGCTTTTAAAGAGCCAACCAGGGGTAGCTTGCTGAGGCAGTCCAGTGTATAAGGAGCTGCCCAGCAGAGAGCGAACAGTTAGGCCAGGGATGGCCAACCTGCGGCTCTCAAGCCACACGTGGCTCTTTGTTTAAAAAAATGTGGCTCCTGCTGCTTTTGAGCCACGTGCCCGGACTGCTCAGGCCAGCCGCTCTGTGCAAGGCACCCTACTGCCTGATCTCGGCTGGCCACTCTGTGCATGCACCCCAGCGCCTGGAGGGAGAAGTGCATGGCAGCAGCCGCAGCTCCAGGACCCAGGCATTAGGTTAAAGCCGGTGTGTGTGGGGTCGGTGTGCCTGACTCTGGAGGAGGACAAGGGGATTGGGTTAGAACAGGGGAGGGAGGTGCCTGGATCTGGGGATTGGGTTAGAGCGGGGGTGGGGTGCTTAGCTCTGGGGGAATGGGATTGGGTTAGAGAAGGGAGGGGATGCTTGGCTCTAGGGGAAGGGGATTGGGCTAGAGAAGGGAGAGGGAGCCTAGCTCTAGGAGAGGGATTGGGTTAGAGCAGGGGGGCTAGGAGTGCCTGGCTCTGGGTGAGGGAGACACTGGGTTAGAGCAGGGGAGGCTGGCAATGCCTGGCTCTGGGGGAGGGGAGGGGAGGAGCGTTGGGTTGGGAGGGGACTGAAGCACCTTAAATTCAAATGCTTTGTGGATGCAGAATAAGGCAGCCAACACAGATGTCATATTTAAATTCCAGGACAAAAAAAGAATCAGCATGTACCTGGTTTACACTGTTTCTTTAAAGAAAATTCAAAGGCTATTGTTTGCCAGGCTAAAATAATTATTCTGAAATATGAGTCTCTCCCTTATTGTTTTTTGAACCTCTCATATTTGCAGTCTGGGACAGGCACTTGAAATTATGCTAATTTACTTCTTGGTTCAGTTTTAATTTAAAAAAACTCACAGGACATAATAGGGCAGTAGTATTAAAATACATGGTGGCAATGTTCGTGTAAAAAGTAGTGCATTCAGCTAATTTAAGTGGCAGAGTTGTTTATGCAAAATTTGGTAGCTGTAGGTAATCCCAAAGGATGACTTTATTTTGCACAAACAAACAAACTCTTCAAAATATATGATAGATTATTGTACCATTAAAAAGAAGATGGTACTGAGGTTAGCAAATGAAAAAATTTGAAATATTCAGTACACTGGAGTCACTTTAAAAAAAAGCAGCCAATGTTAACACACACAAACCACAAAAAAATTGGTCTGTGATTGGTTTTCTACATTCTTATATTTCAGTGAATTATTGCCTTCAGCAATAAGTAGCAAACAAAAATATGCAATTCCAGCTCTCACATCTTTTAGTCAGTGGAAAAAGCTATATCTAAACAAGGAAATGCACATACGTACATGCGCGCGCACACACTCCAGAAAGCCTTTCCAAAGGCTAGTTCCTTTAGTATAATGGAGTTATTGTGCTAAGAAGGGGTTAAAGCTTTAGAACTAGGATTCCCACACAATTCACAACATACTAGCCCTATGAAATTTTAGCAACATATTTAACTATTTGCTTTACTTCATGCTACACCAGGGGTGGGCAAGATACCTCTGGCAGTCTGGATCCATCCCGCAGTGCTTTTTTTGTGATGGTTCTGCCTGGTACGCAGTACCAGCACCTCCAGTCAGAGCTCAACAACTTTTCCCCTGGAGTACCGGCACTTTTTTTTTTTTTAAACACAAAAAAAAGCACTGTCACACCGCCAAGCCATGAGATCCGGCCTGCGGACACCTCACTGGGACCTTCAGGCAAGCAGCAGCCACTGGTCTAAGCACAGGGCTGCTCCGTGTGCCCCTCTGATCTGGAGGGGGAGAGATACTTCTTATGGCTTCTATAAGCTGGAAACAACCAGCCAACAGGAGCTGACAGGCTGGCCTGGGGGATGGGGAGCGGAGAGCCACATAAAGGGAACAGCCTAAAGTTTAAAGTGATCTGGGAGTCTAGCCTGCCTTGGGGGTGCCGCAGGGCTGCTGGCCAGGAGACACTTTGGTAGTTTCCCAGCCAGAGCCTGCCTCTGGCACCCCAGTCCCTCCTGCATCCTAACTCCTTTCCCGCAAGTCACCATCCAAACCGTCTGCACCCCCCTTCCCCAGGTCATAACTCTCTCCCACACCTTATCCCCCTCCTACACCTCTTCCCCAAGCCAGAATCCTCTCCTGCACTATTACTCCCACCCTGACCCTATACCCCAATCCCCTGACCCAGGTCACAATCCCCTCCTTCACCCAAAACTCCCTCTCAGACCTCACACCATCTCCTGCACTCCAGTCTCTTATCCCGTGTGCCCTTCTGCACCCAACCTCTACCCTAGACTCCACACCTCTTCCACAGAAATGTGCGTCCCTTGACCAATTTTCAAAATCTTGGAGTGCCCCCCCCCCCACCAAAAATTATTGCCCACCTCTGCACTACACTGGGCATAACTGCAGCCAAATAGTCTGAAACAATCCTTTTATCCTAAGATAAAACTTTTGAAACTGTATTTGCATGTAGTACCCCATCATAGAATGGGCTCCTTCCAACTACAAATGGTATGATGGACAAACATAAGCACATCCAGTTCACCCTTAAAAAAATTAGTGCTTCCTTAGAATACACTAAAATACACTTTCTAGGGAAAGTGCTTAATTTTTAGTTGTCTAAATGATCATCACTTAGACATGTAGGTGCTAACAAATCTTGCTATTTACTGCCTATGCAGCTGTAATATTAATATACACATCGGGCTCCATGTTCTCAAAATAACAATTGTTTGATGCCACACATCAGTAGTTCCCAACCTTTTCAAGTATACGGACCTCTTTTCAATGTATTAAAATGTAATGGACTTCCCAAACAATTTAGCTGTTTTCAAACAATATAGTGTCCCTGCCTTTTGCTGTTCTGGGTCAAGGGAAGTGACAGGAAGCAGCGGCTAGCACGTCCCTTGGCCCACGCTGCTTCCTCAGCTCCTGCCCCCTCTGTCTGCTGCCCATTCACAGAGAATATGGGGGGGAAGAGACCCCTCCGGTGTCCAAAGGCAGTTTCTGCCCTAGAACTCCACCCTTGGCAGGGTATGGATACTGGGGGGAGGAGGGAAAAAAAGAAAAGGAAAAGGAAGGATCGGACCCGTAACGGGAGTGATGGGGGACAGGGCTGGAGCAAAGAAGGTAGCGCAGCTGGTGGCGGGAGAATGGATAGTCACGAACAGCAAGCCACGGGTGAGTATTGCCTGGCGGAAAGTCCCAGTCCCACAATGGTCCCGATCCTTACTTTTAAACTTTCTGCGGACCCCCCTTCCAGTGTCATCATGACAGGGGTCCACAGACCACAAGTTGGGGACAGCGGCCATAGATAACCTGAATTATTCTCTCCTCAGGAGAGAACTCCAGAAAGTAGCTTCCTTTGTGCACTGAGCTTGTAGATATATGGGGGATTTATTTTTCAACTCAAAGATGTTGGGACATTGCAAGGGAAGCCAGTCTGTTGAATGTTCTGACTCTCCTCTCACACCCAAAGGCAGCACAACTCTGTGGCTGTGCTGACACTGAATTCCATGATTTTCAGGGTATATTAACAAACCCCCTTCATCTTCTTGAGGAACAGCACTCAGTTCAGAGCGACTATCCATCTGAAAAAAATCTGCCCATAAACTAAAGGATCATGCTTTAGTGTGGCTGTTCTCCCTAACAGCTAACTCCACCCCCTGAAAGCACAGGTAAACACTTTGATATAATAGTCTAGTCGATTAACTGATAAGCAAAAGCTTATAGGTTAATACTATAAACTACATGCATTCCTCCCTCCCCCCGACAGTAATTTTTTTAGCAGGCTGGCCAGCAGCACGGCTCAGTCCTGGCTTGCATTGGGACTGGGACCTACCCCTGCTGCAGCTATGCATTTAAAGTGTATTAGGAGGCAGGCAGGTAGGCAGGCCAGCTCAGTTCTGGCTTACACTGGGTCCAGGAGCTCAGATCGCACCCCTGGACAGGGGCTGCTGCAATGCAGGGTGGCAGGCAGCTGGTCCATAAGGGAAGCTGTTTTTTAAACTGGCTCCCCTCGTAGACCAGCTCCCCCCTGCCTCTCTGGTGGAGAGGCAGCAGTGCGAGGTGCAGAGGGCTCCACAAGAGTGGGGCTGGAGCACACTGGCTGCCGGCCCCGCCCCCAGGGATTATAGAATAGTCGACTAACCGATAAAAATTCATGTGGTTAATCAACTATTCAATTAACCGATATTTAACATCCCTAGTATACACCCACATTCTTACAGTACTCCAATTCCTAAACAAAAATACTTAAACTAGTGTATGCTAGTTGGACACATCAGAAACTGAAATGAAAATTCCCTCCAAGAATGTTATTGAAATAAACACTTAAATAGAAATTGAGAGTTAACAGTTGAAACATAAAAGAAATGCAAAAATCTGAAAATACAGGAGAGAGAGTTACTCACCATGTGCAGTCATGGTGGTTCTTCAAGATGTGTCCCCCGATGGAGGAGACAGCTTGGCCCTTGGAATGCTCAGCAAAGAATAAGAAGAGTCTAGGTGATATTCTCCATGATTTTGTTCAATCTATGTAGAACGTGAGTGCTCTGCTGATGTCAAGGGTATGCCATGCAGCTTGGGATGGATCAGCGTGCAGCTTAGAGAAGAACGCAGGTAAGTGTTGTATGGGTTTGTTAATGTGGATGGGAGAAGGGACCTGCAGGAGGAATTTAGAGTGGGGCTGAAGGGGCACTTTGTCCTTAGTGAAAATTGTATGGGGGGAGGGGTCAGCCATTAGTGCAGCGAGCTCCCCCACTCTCCTGGTGGAGGTTATGGCCACCAGAAAGACAATTTTCATGGATACGTGTGATAACAAGCATGTCGCTAGAGACACAAAGGCAGGCCTAGTCAAGCTCATAAGGACATGGTTAAGGCCCCAAATGGGAACTGGAGAGCGAACCGACAGAAAAGTGTATTGTAGGCCAGTGAGGAATCTCTTGGTGATTGGATCAGAAAAGAAAGAGTTGCCGTCGGTGATGCGATGAAAGGCTGCTGTCGCTACTGCATGAACTTTTATTGTATTAAAAGGTAGGCCAGACTCTCTTAGATGCAAGAAGTAGTCAAATATGAGGGGAATAGGGTGGTTTCAGGAGGCATGGGGTGGCTACATTTGAGCCACTTGGAGAATCTAATCCACTTGTAAAGGTAAGTTTTCCTGGTGGACTCTCTTCTGCTGTCGATGAATATTTCTTTTACTTGTTCTGAACAGGTGTTCTCAGCATTTTGGAACCATGCATGGAGATGGAGCGTGTGTGGTTCAGGATGGAGAATTCTGCTGTGATATTGAGTGAGAAGATTGTGTTGCGGGGGAAAGGTGTCCAGATCCACTATTGTCAATCTGTGCAGGTAAGGGAACTATGTTTGTCTCGACTAAGCTGGCACAATGAGGATCACACAAGCTCGTTCTGCTCTGATCTTGGTGATGATCTTGTGGCCCAAGGAAAGGGATTAGAATGCATAAAGGTGCATCTCATTTGAGGGAGAAAGCATCTCCCAGATAACCCTTTCCGAGGGCTGCTCTGGAGCAATAGAGGTGGCATTTGTGGTTGGTTCTGGTTGCAAAGAGGTCTATGTCTGGTTGCCCCCATTGGCAGAAAACATGATTGAGGGCTTGAACACCTATCTCCCATTCGTGATAGTCGTAGAACTTGTGAGCGAGCACATCCGCTCTGACATTTAGTACCCTGGGAGGTAAGTGGCAATAGGGGTAATTTGGTGCGCCAAGCACCAGTTCCATAGTCTGAGAACTTCCGTTCATAGGGATGGCGACCGGGCCCCACCTTGTCGGTTGATATAATACATGCAAGTTGTACTGTCGGTCATGATATTGATTGTCCTGTGTGTTATGTGGTGCAGGAAGTGTTTGCATTTATAGTGCACAGCTCTGAGTTCTAAAAGATTGATGTAGAACATTCGTTCACGGAAGGACCATTTGCCTTGGACAATGAGGGGTCCAAGATGGGCTTCCCATTTCATGAGGGACACATCAGTTGTGATGGTGACTGTTGGGATCAGATGATGGAATGCTATGCCACGTAGTAAATTGTGTGGATGCATCCATCAGTCCAATGAACTGAAAACAAATGGTGTAAAGTGCAAGCCAACATTGGAGGCACCTCATATGCAGTTTGGCCAATTAGACTACATAGGTAGTGGTGGCCATATGGCCTAGGATTTTGAGGCATTCTTAGACTGTTGTGATAGAGGTCATGTGTGCAACCACTATGAGGTGGTGAAGAGCCTCAAATCTGTGCGTGGGCAGGGTTACTCTGGCTGCGTCAGTGTCTATGTTTGCTTCTATAAATTCTAGAGTTTGAGTAAGGTGGAACATGGACTTCTGGTAGTTTATATGGAAACCAAGCTGGAGTAGAAGGCCTATGGTGATCTTGACCATGTCCTGTGTTTCTCGGGAGGATGTGCTTTTTATGAGACAATCATCTAAGTATGGGACTATTATGACTGCCAGGCAACGTGTACACAGCTTCCCTCTTCTGCAAAAGCCTATGCAAAAGAAGTAAGTATTAGCATATTGCTGTACTTAATTTACATAATAATTAGGAGCCATTTTTGCACAAGCCATTTTTGCACAAGAGGGTTTTGCGCAAAAGGCACCATCTACACAGCACCTTTTTGCGCAAAACCCCCTCTTGCGCAAAAGCAGTTCTTCCTTATTTTTTCAGGAAGAATGGCTCTTGTGCAAGAGGGGGTGTTTGCGCAAAAAGGCACTGTGTAGATGGTGCATTTTTTGCGGAAAAACCTCAAGCAAAAACTACTCCTAATTAATTATGCAAATTAAGTGTGACAATATGCTAATCGGCGCTTCATTTGCATAGCCTTTTGCGGAAGAGGGAAGCTGTGTAGATGTAGGCCCTGATGGCATAGGGATGCCACCACAAGAGCTAGAGTCTTGGAAAAAAACTCTGGGAGCTGGTGAGAGCCCAAAAGGGAGCACTCAATATTGGTAGCATTGTGTCCTGTAGGGGAGCCTGGAGGGCCCTCCTTTGACCAGAACAACGTCTGTCTTGTCAGGCCTTGCCCTGTCCAAAGTACGGATCTCTAACAAAGCAAACTCTAGACCGGTCTCAAGTCTGGTGCACATAAGCATGCAGACTAGGTCATGGGAGAAGCTGTGAGAGGAAGGAATGTTTTGGCATAGTATTGCGAGACCAGGCCAAGAAGACCAGAAACAACCTGGTACTGATACAGCCCATTTTTGATAAGCGAAAAATTCTAGATACAGCCATAGAGGTGTTAATTAAGCACTTAGTCTTGCAACATCCTGGATGTACCCCAAATATTGGCACATTTACATCTTACACAATATGCAGTTGATTGATAGATATTATTAGAACGACCAAGTCTCGCTTTGCTATAAAATGGGCTTAGTAAAAAGAATCGATGGGAGGGAGTGAGCAGGATTGATCCACAGGTCCTGCTCATTGTAACTGGAAGTAATAGACCCCTTCACACCGGTGACCCCTGTGTATGGTGTTCCGACGCGTGGGAATCAAAAGGACCATGATCTCCTGCCTGGTACTGTAGGTAGCATATGGGTGAAGTGTAAGTGAACTAAGCTTAATTATTGTATTATAATAATAATCTTCTATTAATTGCTTTTGCATTGCTGTGCACTGTATTAATTGCTTTACAATGTAAATATTATATACTATAAATTTTATAATAATTGTTTTTAAGGCTTGTAAAATTTAAACAACTATATAACTGCTTAAAGCTTTCAATAAATAAGTAAGTGGTAAAGTCTCTCTGGAATGTCCTAGTTTCCCTTGGATCTAAAAATCAAATCACACAACACGTCCCAACTTTGAATCATAGAAAATGCCTGTTGGGAGGTCGAGAGGTGAAAGCCAATCTCCTTGATCTAGTGATGGAATTATTGTTGCTAGGTTCACCATTTTGAACTATTGGTAAGAGAGATATTTGTTGAGTCTCCTCAAATCCAGAATGGGTTTCCATTCCCCATTCTTGTTCTGCATTAGAAAATATGTTGAGTAAAACCCTCTTCGTTTGGCTATGTCTAGACTACAGGGGTTTTTCAAAAAAAAGTGGCCTTTTTTTCGAAAAAACTTCACCTGCATCTAGACTGCCGCTGCGTTCTTTCGAAATTAAATTGAAAGAACGTGGCCGTTTTTTCGACCGTGGGAAAACCTCATTTTACGAGGAAGAACGCCTTTTTTCAAAAGAGCTCTTTCAAAAAAAGACGTTCTTGAAAGCAAACAAGGCTTTTTTGAAAAAGAACATCTAGATTGCCTGGGTGCTCTCTTTTGAAAAAGTGGATCGCTTTTTCTAAAAATAGTTGTGGCTGTCTGGATGATCTCTTTTGAAAGGAGCATGTAGTCTAGACATACCGTTGGAATGCAGTTGGTACTGGTTCTATGGCACCTATTTGTAGAAGATGAAGCATCTCTTGCTGGAGGAGGGTCTCATGAGAGGGATCCCTGAAGAGGGACAGCGTGAGGGGGATAGGTAGGAGGAAGAATAGTGAAGGGGATGGAATAACCAACTTTGATGAGCTCCAATAGCTATCGGTCCGATGCTATTTATACCCATTGGTGTAAAAAGGGCAGGAGGCAATGGTTGAACTGTAAATGATTGGTTGGTGGTGTGACCACAGAGGAATGTCTTTCTGGCTCTCGACCAAACCTTCAGATCTGCTTTTTTGATGTAGAAGGTTGAGCTGTTGAGGACTGATGCTGATGTTGATGTTGAGGTCTATGCTATTGGGGCTTGTATTTTTGATGGAAGTCATACCTGGATTGGGATCGGTACAGTTCTCTGGGTCTTTGATAGATATTGTATCAGGCTCTCTTGAAAGGGGGTACGTACATGTCCAGAGTCCAGAGGGTTGTGCAGGAATCCTTCATAGGATGAAGTGCTTCATCCATTTTTGCAGTTAAACAGGTTGATCTTGTAGAAGGGGAGATCCTCGACTTTCTACTGCAGGTCCCTTGGTACTCCCAATGCTTGGAGCCATGATATTCTGCACATCACAATAGCTGAAGCTGTGACGCAGGCTGCTTTGTCGGCCACATCCATGGCAGACTGTCATGCCGTACGGGCGATCGTATGCCCTACCTGCATAAAATTGAGCAGGATCAGCTTCTTATGCTCAGGCAGAAATTGTAGGAGCTCCTGGAGTTTGGAATAGTTGGAGTAATCGTAGTCTGCCAGCATCGTAGTGTCATTTGCTGCATAAAGGATCAAGGTGGCTGATGAGTACACCTTGTGTCCCATGATGTCCATTCATTTGTGATCCTTATCCTGTGGCATAGACTTCATGCCAGGCTGTCTCATTTTGTGTCTACTGAGTCGACTACTAAGGAATTTGGGGGAGGATGCATAAAGAGGAAGTCCATGCCCTTTGGTGTAATAAAATATTTGCAATCAACCCTTTTATTGGTGGGGTAATGGATGCTGGGGTTTGCCAGATGTTATCGGGGGGTCCATAATGGCCTCTTCCATAGAGAGGGTGATCCTGGAGGATGTGGGAGGCTGTAAGGGGTGCAAAAGGCAGTATTGTTTCTCCTGGACCTCCTGCAGGTCCCGTTCCTGCACTAGAGCAACTCTTTTAAGAAGTTCTAGAAACTGTTTAGAATAGTCATGTGGAGGAGGAGTGGTAGAAATAACAGCTTCGTCTGGTCAGGAGAAAGAATTGTACGGGGGGACCAGTCCTTCCCCTTCGAACAGGAAATAGTTGATGTCAGTTTGGATGGGCTCCAGAGAATTCAACGTTGTGGCAGATGGTGTGGGTTGGGGAGACTGGGGTGGTCTTCTGGATGTTGTTGAGGGAGTTGTGTGGTGGCCCTTGAGAGAAGATCCTGAGTCTCAAAGATGCGACTGCTTGGGATAACCATGCCGGTGGTGGAGGCAGGTAAGCATATGTAGTGGGACCAGACTTCCAGGGTGGATATCGCTGAGTCAGGCTGGAGTGCTGCGTGGTCCAGTGCCAGCTTTGCTAGGGGAGATTGGTGGAACTGGTGATCTGTGTGCATGCACGGATTGTACTGAACAGCATGGAGAAGGCAGTGCTGAAGAGGTCAGCTACTTGAAGAAGAATGGTGTCTTGGGCTCTCTCGTGGCAGTGCCAAGCTTGGATGCGCAGTGCTTGGTGCCACTAGCACCACTGGTGACGGATGTTTCAGAGGAGGCATGTCAGTGTGGGGTCTCTTGGGTGTCACATCCAGTGCCGCCTCTGGTGTTGGTCTGTGCCTGGGGAGTATGGCAGGTTCGGCCAGTATGGTAGGTGCCAATTGTTTGTGTTTGGGCTCCGTGCATGCCCTCTTGTGTGGTGTCAGCTCCTTGGACCTTGCCATGCCCAAAGTGCCAGGTCTGTCTCCAATGCTTACCCTCATCAACCTCAGTGCCAAGGGTAACGATCTGCCCAGGGAAACCTAGGTTTTTTCCTTTGACTTGCAGGTAGAGGGAAAGACTTTGTCCATACCTTTCAGCTCATTTAGTGTTTTTGAGATGGATGGCAAATCTTCACGCCCTGGCTGGAGTGACTTTTCATACAAAAAAGTTTTCAGCCTGTTGGCACAGTCCCAGCATGCTCTGGCTGTAAGATTTGAGCAATGAGCACACTTTTGTGTCTGATGGGTGTCTCCAGAGACTTTATGCATGAGGCATGTCCATCAGATACAGGCATAGAATCTTAGCAAGACTCATGGTGTTTAAAGCCTGAGGATCCAGGCATGATCCAGGAAGAGCAGGTGGACTATGAAGAAAAATTTTTTGGGGTGAGGGGAGGGAGAGCTATAGGGTTGGGGGAGAATCAAAACTTGGAATGAGAAGGAAAACTGAGAGAATTTAATACTTTTGTGGTTTTTTTCGTTGAAACAGGGGCAAGAGAAGATGATCTATCTGCCGCCGAGGACTGTAGAGAAGGAACTGAGGGAGTCGTGCTGCGCATATGCCTAACAGACACCAACGGTGCGATGAGGCACCAGGGCACATGTGCAGTGTGACACTGCTAGAAAAATCTCTGGTTGCTGGTGAGAGGACACACCAGCATCCAGAGTCGAGCACCGATGGGGAAATCACTTGAAGAAGAAACACATAGTTGCTCAATTGTACAAGTGCTTGAACTACTTTAGATCCCTTTCTTATAGGTGGAGAACTGAAAACATGAGCCATGTAACATTAACGCCAATGTCCACAGCATATATACATGTCTCCAACACTAGGGTGTTGTGTTTTGTCATAACATTAACATTTGCTCTTTTAGTGTAAACACTGTAATTTCGTAATCTGGGCATATGGTGTTTCATATGGAGACATGAAACTTGAATAGTTAGCTAAGCATAATCAGAATGCCTGATCTAGCAAGGAGACTAGAATCACCATGTACCACAGAAGTACGCTCTTAATGACTAGAAAATAATTGCTTTCAGTATGTTATTTATCTAGTGATGTATTTGTAAAATATCTTTTGTGGAGTGTGAACATGGTCAAAAAAGGAGCTGAACTTGGCACAACTTAGAGCACTGTAGCTTTCGTGGTCACAGATAAGCTTTTTTTATGTATAGGTATGTTTTCAGAGTTTCTGAACTTTTCAGAGCATTGTTATGTGTGCAGACTTAAGATAGATACTTTGGATTCTTTAATAGTGAATTTTGATGATTCAATGGAGTTTCTTGTATTTTGATGTTAAACTGAACTTCCTGGTTTAATTTTTTGTATTACCTGCAGTAAAATATTCACCCTTAAGTTACTGATCCATAAAAGAACTGTTTTAACATGGGACAGCAAAGGGAAGCCCATCTTCTTGCCTCCTTATATCTGGACATATGACACCTGTCTCCCGCAGGATGTAAGACAGGGCTACTCAACACATGCGGCCCGCAGCCCCTTTGCATGCGGCCCACAGCACCTTGAGCTGCTTCCCGGACTGCCTGCCTGCTTTACTGCTACTGGCTGGCAGGGGTGGGGGGGATGGCAAGAAGCGGCGGAGCCTCCCCACAAGCAGAGCTGAGCAGCACAGCACTGATAAAAGCCGTAGCTGTGCGTGCGCGGGCAGAGGTGTAGTGAGGGGGGCAGTTGCCCCAGAGCACCACGCTGGGGTGGGAGCGGAACGCGCAGCATTACAGAAAGCCAGGAGTGCCTGGCGGACCACATGCAAACTGCAGTCAAATCTCTAAGTCAGCCGGGCTGGACAGCAGGAACCTGTCCCTAACTCCAGTGCCTGTCTTTGTGAAAAGGGATTTGGTTGGAGGAGGAACTGGGGGTGTCTGGCTCTGGGGGATGGGTGGGTGCATTGGGATAAAGCAGTGAATTGGGGTGCCTGACTCTGTGGTAAGAGAGAGGGGTTATTTCAGTAAATATTGTATTAGCAGTTTTTGTTTGATTTGTTAAAATTGTGACACCAAAACAAAAAAGTAGTCAATATAATGGTCTTCTGTTGATACGTGTTTTAGGAGTTAAATTGCTGAACTGTCATTGCTTATTGAAAGTGCTTTCATATGAGTGAAAATTGGGTAATTATTTAATTTTATTAACATTAGCAGAACTGACTTAAATGGGGTCTGTGTGTTGTGTAGTCTTGCCTTAATGTTTGTATTCATGCCCGTCAGTATGAAAGAAGCTATTTGCATGTATTTGCATACATTTGTATATATATGCAGACATGCTTAAATTGTGGCCATCAGCATGTGCTGGGTATCACTTGTGGCCCCCGGGGTTCCAAAGTTGAGTAGCCCTAACGTAAGAGGAGCCCACGAGTAGATTTATGCCACCTATTGAGAAGCCTGTCAGACCTCCCAGTCCTCCCTCCATCACCATTTCCTCGGGACCTCACTGGTCACAGATGAGGGATTTTGCTGAACCAGGAGAGGTCATTTTTGGACCCCTGCCACCAGACTTCTTGGACCAACTGCTAGCATCCCAGCCAGCTCCCCATCTCTTGCTGTCCCCACTGCCCGGCCGACCCACTGGGCAGCCATTACTACCATAGCTCCACTGGGCAGCCCAGCACCAGGGCTCCAGGTAGATGCGTGCATAGCATGCTGGGGCTCCAGACAGCCACATGCACTGGGCCTCCCTGGGCAGCTGGAGATGCCACCAGGGCTCCCTGGACAGCTGTACACGCTGCCAGGGCTCCCAGCCCTGCTAGGCAGCCACACATTAGGTCTTCCCACCCCGCTGGGCGGCCTCGATGCCACAGGCAGGGCGGCCCCACTGTCAGCTCCCTGTGGGCAGCCCACTGCCCGGCCAGCCCCACAGGAATCCTTACTGCCTTCAGCTAGGACTCTCTGGTCCTACAACATCCATGCCAGAACATGGATGTTGCCAGACCAGAGAATCCCAGTTATGAGAGTTTCAACCTGTATTATTACAGCTGGTCCCTGACTTACGAACAAGTTATGTACCAAACACTATGTCATAACTCAATCTGTTGGTAAGTCGGATTACATTCACTTGCGTACAGCCAGGTTGTTCGTAAGTACGGATTTCGTTCGTAACTCGGGGACCGGCTGTACAAGAGGTTGGCTGTAAATACAAACGGTCGTAAATTGATGCATTCATAACTCGGGGACCGGCTGTATAGCTGGTAATAAATGTTTGCATAGTCAAGCCCTTAGCTAAGTTACTACAGAAGTTAATATTTTTCTCACTATAAGAAAAATTATATTGGAAGCCTTTACATCTGCTATTTCTTCCCTTTTTCTTATTTATCTATTGTAAAGTATAAATAACTTGTATGTACATCTGCATTTCATGTATCAATAGTAATCATAAAATATTTTGTTTGCTATCTCAAGAAAATGGACAATTTTATTTTATGTCTAAAAGGAACAGATACATGTAAGATACCAAATGGCTACTGAACATTTTGCATATTAATTTTCTTTTTATTTCATTTCATATTAAATAAAGTCATGTACCTTGTTAATTATTCCTTGTTTTAGTATTCTCTCTCTCTCTCCTCTCCCCCTCTCACCCACCTTGCCCTCCCCTTGTGGCACACATCCACACAGTTTACACAATATTGATGCACATAACAAATATTGATGCTCAATATTGATGCACATAACAAAACTCACTCCGCTCACGGAGGGAAAGTCTTAGAGGGAACATTGGCCATGGCCCCCTGTATTTGCAGATTTTATCATTCGCATTGGTGCCAGGAACACATCCATCAAAAATGGCAAGGGTTTCCTGTCTATCCAAGGAGGAACTTGGGACAACAGTTCAGGAATGGACGAGTAGGAATTGTGGAATCATATCCAAAGGTAAGCATATAGTTAAACTATAACCACATTTCAGTGAGTTTGTTTTTACATGCATCTTGTACATCGGTGACTCTCAACCTTTCCAAACAGAGGTACCCTTTTCAGGAGTCTCATTTGTCTTGCATACTCCAAGTCCATAAAAAATACCTGTTTACACAATCCGATGTAAAAATGTCACTGAATAATACTACTGAAAGATTGCTTACTTTCTACCATGTAATAAATCAATTAGAATATAAATATTGTACTTACATTTCAGTGTATAATATAATGTAGCATAAATAAGTTATTGTCTGAAATTTTAGTTTTGCACTAGCTTTGTTAGTGCTTTTTATGTATTCTGGTGTACAGCTAGATAAATATCTAAATGAGTTGATGTACCTCCTGCAAGACCTCCATGTACCCCCAGGGATACAAATACCCCTGGTTGAGAACCATTATTATATTCCAAGTTCCTGATCTCATCTAACAAAAATTATGCATACATACAACTTAGAGGGTCTTTTTCTGCTTTCTGTAACCATACATCAATATTTATATAATAAATCCAAATGAAAATGTACATAACTGCCTCTAACAACATTTTACCCTGGTAGATTCAGAAATAGAGAGAAATCACAAGAGATGAAGCAGGAAGGATGCATAAAAATATTAACCATGAAAAACAAAACTATTCTTCTTTTTACTCTCTTAAAGTCATTTTACAATTGTTATGTCACTAAGTTAAAATACACCTCGTGGACGTAACAGCCATGAAGAAAGAATCAGAAATGTGGTGTGTTAACTATGATTAACTAATGGTAATACAAATTATCAAAACAAGCTGTATGTTGATTAGCTGAATCGTCTAATCAAGGGTGTGATCAAGAAGCCTTTACATAAGTATAACTCCTATTTACATCTATAAGAATTGTAAAAATTAGGAATGTAAAATCCCAGGTAATCACTAATGAGTTGGACCTTAAGTTTAACTGGTTAACTGATTAAGTGGGATGCTGGGGGGAGGGAGGAGGGGCGGAACGGACACTGCTCCAGCCAGGCTGGAGCAGCCCCTAGCTTGCAAAGCTGCCAGCACCAGCTCCTGCTCCCTAAGTCCCTCACATACATCAGGTTGCTGCTCCCAGTCCCCCCACGTGCAAGGCTGCCGCTGCCAGACAAAAACAGGAAGATAAAAGAGAACACTGAATTTTTGAGGTGGATATTTTAAATTAACAACTGAACTGGATGTTAAAGAAACTTAGAAACCTTCCCTGATCAGTTTGTGAACTTGTTATATTTTAAAAAAGCGAGGGTGACAGTAGAGTTCTCAGCAGACAACAGTGTGCATGTATGTATTCATTTTTAAAAATAAAATAAATAATAATCTAATAAAGAAGATGTGAGCAGAGGACAGTTGTTTTTCCTCCAGCAAGCCATCAAGTTGGTTTGCTGTAACAATGGCTGGTGAAAGTTTTAGCCCATCTATGCAGAAAAGTATTTTCAGCATAAACTGAAGTGTGAATTTAAATCCATATACAGTAAAACTCCATTGGTCCGGCATCCAATGCTCCGGCACTCCTGGTGGTCCGGCACCATCAGGAACCCGGAAGTGCTCCGACTGCCAGACAATTGGAGCTGCTCTGCGCCCAGCTTCCCTGATTCAGCCGCTGCTGGTCAGTTTCAGCAGCAACTGAATCAGGGACGCCTGGGGCAGAGCAGCTGGGGTGCTGCCGGGTTAGTCCCATAGCGCTGCTCCTCAGGGCTGAGGGACCAACCGAGGGGCGGCGCTACGGGACCAATCTGGCAGCACCCCAGCTGCTCTGCCCCCCCAGGGCTCCCTGATTCAGTTGCTGCTGAAACTGACCAGCAGCGGCTGAATCAGGGACGCCTGGGGCAGAGCCAGACTATCAGAAAGGGGGGCTATGAAGGGTCTGGGGTGGCATCCCCCCCACACCACCCTAGACCCCTCATAGCCCCCCCTTCCAATAGTCCGGCATATCTGATAATCCGGCACCCCCTGGGTCCTAATTGTGCCAGATTATCAGAAGTTTACTGTACTTATATAAATGCAAAACCCAATGTGGTCACTCATATTGTGATATAAGCATCCTTTTTGTTATTTTGGCTTTTATTTAATCACTTATTTATATCAGAATAAGAGCACATTTGGAGTGTTGAGGAGAGGGAAATATCAGTGTAATGATAGGAATGCTTTATTAGGCATACAGCTATGTAAAATGGGCTTAAACATTTTGATGCCTACACGTCTCATAACTATGGTGGGAATTACCAGTTGGTGCTATTATACACAATCATAAAAGTTTTTTTTCTTAGTGTGTGCGCTGTTCAGATTGAGATAATGGTTGTGCTCTTAGTTTTGCAATTCATTTTCTTCTTAAGGGAGCTGCAACAAGCAGTTCTCTCTGTCTTAATCTCTGTAATCAATTCTTGAGGCAGAATTGTTCCCAGAGAACCAGGCACTTTTGTTTTGGCTTAGATTCCTGAAAGAATATATTGCCTGTTTGTGGTTTCTGACCACAACTGTGAGTGTTAGTGTGAATGTGAGAGAGAGAGAGAGACAGAGAGAGACAGAGAGAAAAAAAAACATACCCCAATTTCAAGTCACTGATTTTTCATCCAAAGGGAAGCTGACAAGTAAGGCTCGGACATACATCACTTGTCAGAGGGGCAACAATATAATTTAATGTACATACACACATGAATGCACACACATTTAAAAATGAGAAAGCAAACTACAGAAACTTATGGAAAAAACAATACACTTATAGAATAAATCAAAAGCTTTTGGGACGAGTTCATCTTGAAACTCATCAAAACAAGTGACTGAAAACACAAAGTAACGTCTGAATTAAAAACAAAAGTTCCATTGAAAAGCTGATAAAGATACAAAAAATACCCAAAACACTTTATATTTTAGTGGGATGTTACTTACCCACATTTGGTGGCTTCCCATAATTTACAGGTAATTCGGGAGGTCGGCCTCTGTGTAGAGCTGCAAATGCAGATCCCTTCCATAGCGTATGTCTGCAATCTAGATCAGTGAAATTAACAGTAGATCAAGAAAATGACCTGCAGAGGTATTTGACACCACCAAAAGCTCATCCCCTCATTTCCTAATACATCCTGGAATGTACATCTCTAAATTTGATGAGGGGAAAAATTGCAGAGAATATAAGTGTAATAATAAAACTCCATAAACATCATGAGAAAAGAGCACTAAAAATCTCAACTTTCCATCTTGATATGCATTTAAAAAGTTCTAGTATATGATATATTTGGGAAACAGTATAAATGCACACTTTCTACTTGGGATTGGGGTGGATAAGATTTTTGTTTAAACAAATCTGGTTTATTTTAATTGATGGAAATACGCACACTCTCGCCACGTATTTCTTTCTTTCTTTCTCAACATTGTTTTTTAAATTAAGGCCATTTTCTTTTAAGGTTCTCCAGCTATTTGGCTGCCAGTTGGCCTCAGACAGCCTTCCCTCTAGTGGAAACAATAGTGCATTTTCTGAGCCTGTTTAACAAAGTGCCTTGGAAATCAGAGTTGGGCATTTTCCATTATTGGCCATCTGGAAGAAGAGAAACGAGCTATGATGAGGAAGGGCTGTGGAGCAGACATCTAATGCCATTGATAGCTGGAATCATGCAACACCAATTGAATCCATTAGCACTGAGTGTCCAAATCCAGACAAATCTAAAAAAAATTTAAGCACAACCCAAATTCCACTGTAGCTTTCTCTTAGTATAATAATTACATATAGAAGTACATCTTAAGCTTTCTAGAGCAAAGGTATATGCTCTCTATTTGCTGTCATTATCTATATTATTCAAATGCACTTTAAAAGATCCATAAGACTGTCCTGGATAAGAACAACTACTTCTCAGAATGAAAATATTGTTTACCCACCAAACAGCACAAGGCCAGTATACTTTCTCTACACCGAAAGTCAAATACATGAAAGAAATTCCCTGTGATAAATGAATTCATCAAATGGGTCTTCACGTTATCCTATACTTTTGCCTGACTCATCTGAGCTCTGCTCAATAATCACATGGTCTGAGACTTATTCTAACATTGTTAACTCCTGCTCCAGATTCAAACAGCCACCATTTTTTGTATTATCAACCTGCCACCCAAATGTTTTCTTCTTCTCCCTACATATATGGAATTTTTCAACCATATTACGCCTGCCCAGGGCCCAAGACAAGCAAGATTAAGCTCTGGTCCTGCAACAGTTTATCCTGTACTTAAAAAGACAATTTTAAAGTGATAGCCCATGAATTAGCCATGTACATTATCTGAATGGAAGAGCAGACTCCCAGATTCCCAGTGGAACCTAGCACTCACTTGTAGCCATGGAAGGAACTGTAACTTTTCACCTTTTATAACATTTCTAGACACATACAAGGTATTAGAGGTTATTTTTAGGGCTCTCTTATATTTATTCATTTCTTCTTTTAAATGTTGCACAGTCACATTCACTTAGTAACTTAGATGCCTAGTTTTATAAAACCAAGGATATTAAACACTGTCTCGGTAACATCTTTTAAAATAACTGAGTATTTCTAAAATAATTTTTCTATATCATATATGGCAGAGAGAGAATAAATGCTGGGGCAGTATAAGATTTTATTGACATTTGTTTTCATGAGTGGCAATATGTGGCCTTTTCTTCAAAAAGTTCTCTTTCACCTCTGACTGACTATTGTACTAGTCTCCTCAATTTACAAGAGTTAAGACTGCTAGTAGGGTAATCGCTGTGAATTTCCACTGTTTTGGGGCTTGCCTCCCCCTTGTTCTGAAGTAATCCAAATCTGTTGACCTTCATTATATGCTGCAAAGCTCATCTACTTTAAAAAAAACAAAAAAACAAAAACAAAAAAAACTTGAAGGACTGAAAGGGAGAGGGAAAGGAAGGTTTGATAGGACAGAACAATGGGGGAGGGGGCTTACTGTTAACAGGGACTGATTATTTCTATTATATGGTGGAGTTTGGATATTGAGTTTGTGAAGAAACCCAAACCATAAAATACTGAAGTAAAATAGAATATGGAATAATATAATTAATACATTACTAGCAACCTTTCAAGATTCCCAGTCCTCAGGATAGCAGTAGCTGATGGCTTACAAGTATAGAAATGGCTCTTCTTACTGCAGCTGTTTTGATATATGATCTCCCATGTAGCCGCTCTAGACTGACACAGCATTGTCTACACTAGCACTTTTATCAGAAAAATATTTGTTGGACAGGGGTGTTAAAAATAATACCACCACCACAACCGCATCTTACCAGCATTAGTTTCACTGACAAAAGCACCAGTGAACTTATATCAGTGAGGGTATGGGGTGTCTTTTTGGTATTTTTTTTACACCCCAACCAACAAAAGGTTTATCGACTAAAGTGCTACTGAAGACATAATCTCAAGCCAGTGCCACCTTTGGCATATTTAGGGATAATGGATTTTTTGCAAAGTTGTACTGGCAGAAATCCTAGTGCACACAGCTATAGTGGCATAAAAAGGCTTTTTCCAGTATAGCTCATTTCACTTCTAGAACTAGAATAAGCCCTATCAGTGAATGCACTATTTTGCCATTATATGCTTCATCTATACTTGGAGAGTCTGCCAGAATAGATATACTGGCAAAACTTTTCTAGTGAAAACCTGGCCATGGAGAAGGCCACTCTTTGTCCTAGTAGTTCTGTTTCAGAAGTCCTGAAATTAGAAAATAGAAACTGACCAAGTCAAATAGCACAAGAACCTCTCATCTAAGTACGCAAAGGCCTTAGACTACAACACAGAAGATACTCTGCATTACATATTAATCAATTTTTAAATTGCTTACGTCAGCTGTAATTATATGGATTTGAAATCTTACCTTTTGCCGCCCTTAGTAAAGATTGCCGTCCCACACCTAGTAAAGTCTGCACTCCAAGAACACTCTGTGGAATCTCTTTGTCTAAGAGGGGCCCAATTCTCTCACAGATTTTCAGAAGGTAATCTGGAGGGATGTGCGCATTGGCTGCCACCTAAAACACATGAAACAACACATAACATTTTTATGTTTTCCTTCGTTTGGGGGGAAGGTAGAAAAAATTCTCTCTTCTTCATCTGAGCTTTTCACTTAACATTTATTCAGTTCATATTTAAATAATGTAAGTACACAGACAAGCAAGAACAAAACATTTTAAAACTTACAGTGGGTATGATTCATATTATCTAAGAGAGCCCTGTAAGCAACTTGGACATTAAGAAAATTGACCAGTAAGAGCATGCCATTAGTCAACTCACTTGAAACTATGATTTAAGCTATTATTACATGATTACTTTAAAACTTTGAAAGCCATACAGGAATAAACAAAACCTCAAACTTCAGTGTTTTCAATGCAGTACTCTGAGTAAGCAGAGTGCAATTTGGGAATCAGATATTCTCGTTAACACACAGGCTTATTCTTTTCACATAAGAATAAATTACTCAGCTAAGAAACCATGGCCTTGCTCACCTGCCACATTTTAACCCCATGCTCTTGTTGCAAACACATTCTGTATAAAACCTAAACAATGGGGGGGGGGGAGAAACCTGAAAACATTACAATAACTTCAAGGTCTATCTGCTCAGTTTTTAGCTGTTGTGAATGGGTACCATGAAGACCTGACATTAAGTGAGATATCCCATCCTAAGAAAATCATCTGCATTCTTCTTCAATATTGCCCTTTCCTAAATAAAAATAGCCTATTACCCAAGACAAAATGAAGCAAATAATCATCTTCATTAGACAGTATGAATAGCAAGCAAGTAGCATCTGGCCATCTGGAATTTCCTATGCAGGTCTTACTTTTACTACTTCGAATACATAACACTTAACATTTGTTAGATTTTAAATTTAAATTTTTCTTCCAAAACATACACCACAGTCGCTTCTACTTTTTTTTTTTAAATGGTCAAATCAAGGGGCAGTCACAATAAAATACTGTGGATTTGAAAACGGATACAACGTATCAGTAATTGCTATCTTGCACTTCAAGTACTTTTTCCAGTCCTGAAGAAGTGTTCTGTGTACATTTCTTTTTCCTCAACAAAATTCATCTCACCAATATCCTGGGACCTAACACTACTACTACAACACTGCAAACATATGTATTTTATATCCCACATGCTCTAATGTTAAGAAGAAATGCTCAACAACTAAAATGAGTCTATGGAAGAAGAGCTCTGTGTAATCTCAAAAGCTTGTGTCTCACACCAAAAGAAGTTATGCCAATAAAAGGTATTACCTCACTCTGCTATATTATAATTTGTCTTTTCATTTCACCAAACAGCAGACCTAACTACTTATTTTAAGTTCTGACATTCCATCTATTAAAAAGAAACAATATGCACACAAACAGCACCCCACGTTTCAATCTGGACAGTTTATAAAATGGGTAATACATGATATTTGGATCCAATTGGTCAACAGCAGTGGTATTATACCGGCATAACATGAGTCACTTTCTCAACAATATACTTCCACAAGTAATGTCTAACATCTATTAACTCATGAAAAAGGAGGATTTTCTAACAACTACTACAATGTAACACAATGCACTTCAGCACCACCCAAGCAACCACTGCTTCTCAAAAGGAGAAATAGCACTCAGAGCAACCAACAATATTGAGCTCTCCCGAAGATTCTGGATTTAATATCAAGATCAGGCTCCTGGAAGAGGTCATCAGTAAAGCCACACCCAATACCCCACATCCTGCTTTCATTACATTTAAGGATTTAAAGAGCAAATGGAGTTGAATAAAATTAATCTGTCACTTCATAAACAGCCAGCATAAAGAACACACTGTGAATGTAACAGGACCACGATTGCCCAAACTAGTCAGCAAACAAGCTGCAGTAAGCAATGAAAAAGAACAGCTGAAACCAGTGCTAGAAGGGAGCTTCAACCATCAAGTCTCCATCACAAAAGTATACTATTCTATTAAGGGTCACCATAATATAATTAATTCAAAAGTGACTAAATTCTTAACATTGCTCACTGTCTGTGAAAGAGGCTGATCAATAAATGGGAAAATAAGAAAATGAGTTTCTATCCACATGCAAGACTTCTTTATTCCCAGAAATGGAGAGTAGACAACAGGGTTGTTATAGGTTAACTGGGTAACCTGTAAGCATATGCCTTACTGACATGCTTACCGATTAACTGGAGCCTGATGCCCCCCATGGCAGCCCAGCCAGCAGGGCCATGGCAGGCCAGGGGCAGCCCCCATCACTAGTGGCCATGACGGGGCTGGAACAGTCCCCAGCTGCCCACAGCCGGTGGTTATCCACTTAAACAAATCATTTAACAGGTTAACTATTCTACGTGTTTTTTACCTCTCTAGTGGATAGTTCCAACATATCCATTTGGAAAACTCATTAAGATTAGAGACTATCTATTAGTCCTTTGGGCTCCTAATGGAGCATAAGATTAGAGACTAACTTAGTGAAATTGTGGTGCAGGAAGTAGTAACTTGCATCTCACTAGCATATTTATCAGAAGGTCTGAAATCCCACTTTCTTCTTTGAGGAGCTCTCACTTCACTCATAGTCATAGGTATTTAATACAGGAAATAGCATCTCATTTTCAAAGAGACCCTGCATACCAAATTTCTTGTGAATAGACAGTTGTCATCAATGATAGATTTCCCCCCTCTGTATTATGACTTTTACACAAACTCAAATTCCCTTGGCTGCCAAAGCAACAATTAATAGTCAACCGTATTAAAAAGCAACTAAGTGCAAAAGGACCAAAAAAGCTAATTGATCATTATATAAGGCAGGGGGCTGGCATACAAGATGATTTTCTGTGGCAAGCACAATGAACAGGCTCCCCCTTGCTGCATCCAACCCGCAACAGGGAGCCTGTGCTGGCTATCCAGCATTGTGCCCCCGCTCCCTTCCAAGATTGGTGCCAGAGCTGGCTTCCTGCGGAAGCATGAAGGAACGAGCGGGAGCCTGTTCACTGCACATGCCCCACAGACGTGAGACTGAGCTGGGCATAGAGGGGAGTCTACGCATTTTCTCACACCGCCACAGGGTGCACAATGCGGCATTACACGTGTATCATCGCTGCTTGCAGAAGCGGAAATAACATACATCAGCTGCTCTGCCCATTATGGCAGTTTGGCCCCATCCCTTTCTCCACCTAGGTTGGTGACTTCAAGGCACTTTCCTAGGTCTGTCACAGCCTCCAGGCTCCAGGATGGGAGCCAATCACAGACAGCATAGGGCATGGGGGGAAGGAGGCATGCATATGCACTGAAAGCCAAAATCTGGCAGCTCAGGCTGGCCTGGAAAGCTCCAAGGCTCCACGCCAGATCTGGCTTGGAAGGAAGCATGCACTGCTCCTCCTCTCCCCATAGAAAAAGCCGGAGTAGAGCCCACATCAGGAGACCAATTAGGGCGCGTCGTGGAAAGAGCCCCTCCTCCACACCCAGGAGAGTGGCGCGGCCCAGAAGAGGAGGGTTAAATCTTGGCATGCCACTCCAGAAAGGTTGCCGAGCCCTCATATAAGGCAGGAACCAGATGAGTAAAGTCTCAATTCAAAAGAAAGGTCAGAATCTTGAACTCACCCAGGATTAAACTGGTGTTCGAATCCACCTGTGGCTGTAAAGCTACCATGTGCTCAACCACCTTCGCTTAAAATTAAAGGTTTGAAAATGCAAGCACCCTATGGTCAAGCAATGTTATTTTCTTGAGATGAGGCGAACAAACTTATGTACAATGATTTCCAATACCTTTCTCTCTTGCGAGGATTGGAATTGACTATCAATAGTGACCCGACAATCACACAACTAGTTTTAAGCAACTTAGATGGACAGTGTAAAAACTTGGGTCCCAATCCTACAATCTGTTTCATACTAGCAGAGCCTTTCATTGACCTGAAGTTCCACTGAACTAAATGCTTTTATATATATAAAAAAATAAAAAATTGCTGGATCAGTACCCAAACCAGTAGTGAATCCTGGATACCATGTCCACATATTCTACAGACAGATCAGGGTGGACAAAAATAAATTTTAAAAAATACTTAAAAAATCCAATTTTTTCATATTTAAATTGGATTTATTTTCTTTAAAACCTCAATAACACACTAAATTTCTCATTTAAAAATAAGTTACAATTAAATCTCATCACAAACATGCTACACATACACTTACAGTCTCATAAAAACAAATTAATGGCTCTAGTCTGTCCAGCCTAACTACTAGCTCTTGCTTTTTCAAAGTTCTTGGCTGTCGGTTTCTCAGCAAACTGAAAAGTAACATGAGCAAAGAAAGATATAAGCTGAATAGGATTTTTTTTACTCTGTGCGAATGTGGTGGTGGACCTTGGCCAATCATGGCAAAGGAGTTAGTTAAGACACTATTTTAAGGACAGAGAGACAATATATAGGGAAGGATGGAGGCAGCACAGAAAGGAATGGAGAAGTGGACTGGAAAGAAAAAGGAATGACATTATTCAGTACACAAAGCTTCCTATATTCCCCAACACTTTTACCACAGAAAAACTATCATGGCATAAGAGAGACCCTATTTGGGAATATGTTGAAGAAATTCATTCCCTGCGTAAAAAAGGAAAATGTGGCAAGTGTAAGCAATGCAAGATGATGATGAAGGCCCTAGCTGCAACAATGAAACCTCATAAGGAAAACTACTTATTGGGAGAAAACAATGTGGATGAAGACGTGGATACGGCTGAGTGGATCAACTGGTTAGCAACTTAAATAATTCACTTTGAATGAGTCCCTTCTCAAGATTTTGTGACTTTTAATATAAGTGTGATTTGAAAAGTAAATTCCCAAGTTGTTTGCTGTGTTGGATGTTGCTAGAATAAAAAAAAAAGTTAAGCCATAAGGATTAGCTAAGGTAACTTAGATTCTAAAACTAGTTAACCATTGCCCAGGTATACAATAAAGAAAGTTGCAGTAAGAGAAATCTAGAGTTGCCAGTTGCCACTGAGTGTCATTTTCTTATTTTATATACGTAATGCAT